CAAAATAATTATTCATATTTATCGACTTACCTATCCCTTACTACGAAAGATACAATCGGAGATTGTGAGTTTTTAATAAGGGCCATTGCCTTCTTCTCCTTCATCCCAGCAGTGTATACATCATTAATCTCTACAACTTGATCACCAAAACGTAAGCCAGATTTTGCGGCAGACGAATCCCGTTGAATAAAACAAATAAAAACTCCCTGAAATAGGATAAAATCTAAGTAAATGAGAGAAAAATAGGAAGATTCTGTGAATTTGAAGCATAAAATTGAGCTCTGAAACTAGGCTGTTAGAGGATTAAAAAACTTAGTTCAATGTCACACAATGAAATTATCAACGATTAATTTACTTGGATTGTATTTACTGTAACTTTGAGTGAATTATGAATCACCTAAAAATAAGCAATTATGGAGTATGCAATAGAATCGTGGTAATTATTGACAAAATTGAGTCAAATATGCTATAGGAATGAGCAAGAATAAGCTAGCTATTTAAAATGTCAAATCTCTATTGCTTCTCATAGTAAACAGGTTATCCGAATTCGAAGAAAATGTAGGAGCAAATTAGTAGCAAATGTTATATTAAAGATATTCGCAAAAATAAGATAGGGCTATTAGCGGGAGACTATAATTGCGATGACGCTGATAAAAGATTTGTAAAGCTTTGGACACAAATAGAATACCTTACCGTGTCGACAGACCTCAGCTGAATCCCTAACTTCCCTAAATGATTTTTGGTAACAACAACTCGACGCAGTCCATGCTTTATTCCAGTAATAGCCTCCTTTGTTACAAGTGCATTGCCTGAAACTGGGGCACAGACGATTCCCAGACTAGAAGAGTTACTCTCTGTAACAACCAATCCGCCTTCAGAATCATATGAAAACGCGGTTAAGTCGAGGCCCATAAAGGAGCCATAATTTGGACGGAAATCAGCAACGTTGCATCCAGAAGCCAGAGCATCAGACAAGTTTTGGTGAGTCAGCAACTCCGTGACCTTGAGGTCCTCCAGAGTTGGATAAAGAGGCATCTAACATAAAAATATGGCATATTACAAAAATAAAACAGAAATAAATGAGTAGACAAGA